ATGGTACGCATGCATGAACCAATCCGCCCTCGTGGGCCCAGTGCGTATTGGTGGGTGTAAACGACTGCAGATGCAAGGAGGATATCGAGATAATAAATTTCTGGTCACCCATTCTATAACCGGGCTTTGCGAAAGTTGCTTAACTGAAGCATAGGGTTGTAGATGGGGGGTGAGAAGCACCCCCCAGGCTTTAGGTATAAAGAATAAAACTAAAAATAAAGTTTAACAATCTTTATTTTTGTTCTCAGGGGGTAGGTAAAGATACTCGCTCGCTATGGTTCTTGTATCTAGTATTATGAGGGTAGGACTTAGCTTTTAGTTTTGTTAGGGGATTTAGTGACGAGTTCGCGGGTTCAGCGCCACGGGCCGGGCAGAGGCTGACAAGGGTGTAGACCCGTCTTCAGCTCCGGTCAGCAGCACCGAAGATCCACGAAGCTCAGGAGGACTGGGGTAGAAGACGAACCCTGTTAACATAAATACAGCACTGAATAGAAGTTCAATAAGTGCGGCTATCAGTGGCCTGGAACAATTAAGATAGCTGCAGTTGCTATAGCTTCTATAAAAATCTACCGGCTAAAAAAAATATAAAAACGTGTGTTTCAAATGATATTAAAAATCGTTTAGAATGAAGTTAAAATAAAAGATGCTATGATAATAATCTGTAAGTTAAAAAAAAAAATTGAATTACACGGGAATCGAACCCGTACTTCAAGTAAAATTAAAGCACTAAGTGTTCCATTTAAAATCATCTAAATTTCAAGGTTATCAAAATTATTTATAGCACAACCCGGGAATCGAACCTGAGATGGAAACAAAATCATGACTTGAAACTGAAATAACTGGCATTCGGACAATGTATCGATTATATTTAATTTTTAGCAGACAAAATTAAATATGAAATCTGTAAGGTAAAAAAATATTAAAATGTTAATTTTGCATAGTCTCAGAACTCCGTTCTTTTTCAATATATTGTTTTATGAATGTAAAACAATACAATAATCTTTAAGTATAGCAAAAATTTTATAATATTTCCTTAAATATCTATTTCACCTTTATTGAAATAGAATAAAAAAGTTATCGAACTTTAGGTTAAGAACTGGATTTTTACTTCAGTAATAATATTCAATGAAAATGTTAAACATTATAAAACAGCGAAATAGCTTTAGAATTTAAAGTTACTTAATGGACTTGTGATTTTAAAAATAAAATACTCCAAGGTGATAACTTATAAGCGAGTAGTAAAAGTTAAAGAATTAGAACACTCACCCGATTTCGGGGTTATTTAACACTAACTTACAAATTTGAAAAATCACTTAAAAATGCATGTATTGATTCGCGAGAAGTCATTTAAATACTATTTCACCACTATGAGCCGCGCTGCGCTCCTATGTCTGCCTACCTCCATTGTACAATTGTTAACATTGTACCTACAATTATTTTTAAAGATATTTTTCTTTAAATTAATTTGTATTAAAAAGTAAAAAGGAAATAAACACATCAGCTAAACATTCAAAAGAAGGACAGTTTATTAAGTAAACTGTTACATAACAATCATATCGCGGATTGACCGCTAACCACTATTGCGTCCTTCTAGTGTTAAATGATCATTATATATTTCGTTTTATAACTGTATTTCAGGGAAACTGTACCTATTTAGCATTATATTTAGAAGCTATAAAACTCGTATCTTAGTTTTATGATTATGCTGTAGAATTTCTGTAACAAATAATAAAAACCAAACCTAAGATCTTGCCTACTTAACTAACAAACCAATAAACAAGATTTCAAGTTAATAAACAAGAAGTTCAAAGTTGTATAGAAATATAATGAAACTTCGTACCGCTTACTTGTTTAGATTTAAAACGGGGCCGTTTGTTAATCCTTAAATGTTGGCACAAGCCACGTACATAGTCGGCAAAATATAATATCATCAATTTATTAAATATTATATAGGATCAGCACGAGATTAAATTGAGCTTCCTAAGTTTATGTATCAGCACTTAAGTTAATTTTCACACTGAAGAGATTATTTACCGAAGAGAAGTTACAAAAACAATAGTGGGTTAGGGTGGATTATGTATTTAAAATAAAGTCTTCTATTGTGTAGTAATTAAAATATTCTGCAGTCAAAAATATTTGTTTGTTAAATATATTGACTGTTAACTTCACAGAACACAGAACGATGTGCCAAAATACATATTTGCGTAACATCTTGTCTTGTATGCTAAAAGTTTGCATTACGTTAAAACTCGCTATGGTAATTTTGATTTTAGTGACATCTATCTCATTACGCTTATAGTGGCGCACACAGAACACGGAAAAGAGGTGTTGCCATTGATATGTACAAGAAGTTTATAGTATTATTTATGATGCCATTCAGGTAAGACCTGACACTGATTCTGATGCATGGACAATTTTTAGGGATATGATTTTAACAAATTTATTAGAACGGGATGTAGTTTTCCTAATTTTCGTTCGAGGACAATAGTACCCTTAGGTGTTATGTAAATTGTAGGAGTTATAATGTAAAGTACATATAGAGTTACTTATACAACTTCCACTCTACACGGTGTTTGCAGTCCTTTACTAAAACAATGCCTAAACCTATCAACATCCAGATCGAAGGTATCTATTTCTAGGATTGCTATCACCTATGTTAAAACCACTACATGTTAAAACCCTCCGTAGCCGAGTGGTTCGCACGCCGGTTTCAAGGTGTCGCCATCTCTGAGGTCCCGGGTTCGATTCCCGGTCGGGTCAATGTAGAAAATGAACTTTTCTACATTGACTCGGGTCTGCGTGTTGTGGTACCTTCGTTGTCTCAGATACTCTATAATACGGGGGCTTAAGCTACTCATCTTGGAATCTGAGCAATGTATGTGATGTTGTCTAATATTTATTTATTTATTATTCATCTTTAGTTCCTTAGTTTAAAGTACTCTATTGGTATATTAATGTTTCTACTGAATAATATAGAGAGAACGGCCAAAATACACCACCTAGGCTCAGCGTGAATTGTAATAAAATAATTCAAAAATAATTCATATTTGGTTACCCATCTGACCTACGTCCTTTGCATATTCAGTTCCGCTATCATAGACGGAAAACACCAGTCACGTGCACGAATTACGACCGCTAGAAAACTCGTGAAAATCGAATAGCCAACATACATATACATAGCAAAAAAAATGGTATAATATATTAAAATGATTTTAATATAAATTATAAATTGAAGAATATAGAAAAATATGTAATTTTTAGTTTTTTAGTCACAATATTTGAATTTAAGTATCGTATTGCATTTATTATTAGAAAATAATTGAAAAAAAAAAGAAGTAACAAAACATTCTCTTGGCATCTTTTTGAATCAATTCTTATTTCTTAAAATGAAATGAAAATAAATAAATCTCTTTTTCACGTTAGTCGGAATTTGGAATTATCACTAACAACACGTAATTTAATTTTAATACAAAAAACAATTGCTTTTAAATATTGAAATTTTCTTTTATTTTATTTACATATGAAGAATCACGGAAGAAAATAATGTATTTTATTCAACTATAACAGAAATATTAAGCATTTTCAAAGTGATCTCATTTTTAATGTGTATATTACATTGAGCGTTAGTGTAATGTTTTTTGACACTGTATGTGCTCTGTTTTCTTTTTTCTCTACATAAATTAATAAATACCAAAACATTCTTGTATTAAACATGTACCCACGACATATGAAATTAGGTAATAAAACTCCATTGGTTATATTTCGAGTGGAGGTTCGTTTTATGATATTTTTACGCTTACTCAGAATATTATCGTGAAATACCTTTAAAAATGTCACTCCGCCCGAGACACTGTAAACAGGGAAGCAGTAGATTCTTAACTCAAAGCGCATTAGATGTCGAACGAGAAGGAATTTTTAAAAATTTACAAATGGCTTTCTAAATATTTATTCTTTACAATCAAAGACAGGCTTATATCATGTGACTGCATTTTTTTCCAATTGAGCACAATTTTTTTAAGTTTTTTTTTTACTGACGTTGATATACCTTTTATAAATTATAACAAATAATTTGACACATTCTATTTCACTTTTATTTATTGCATAAAAACTGTTGTGGTTTAATCCTTTAAATATCTTATTTCACCGTGGTATTTTGAAATCGGGAAAAATAATAACAATTATTTTAGGACATAGAACAAAAGATATTTTTTATTACTTCAATATCATTACATCAAAATCAAATTATTTCTTTATATCTAAACCATAAAGCATATTTACAAAAGAGTCCTGAACAAAAATAATATTCATTGTATCGGAAATCATAACATACAAATAATAGCTAATAATACACATATCACGAAAAGCAAATCAGATAAATATCTACTCGTTTATAGCACACGTTTTTTCACTAAAGTAAAATTGAATAGTTTCCTGGTTTATTGTGTGACGTGAGCTTGACATAGACATGGTAATCTCAAAGGACAGTTCTCGGAAAAATGTATCAAACTAAGGATGAATGTATTTATTCGTAAGCAATAAAAAATTAAGGTTATCAAAATTCTCACTCGAAAAGTTACCCAGCCTTTATTCTGTCTGTGAAAAATTCAATAATTAAATGCTATCTAATAATTTAATGTTCATGGAAAATTCTCGTACGTAATTATTTGTACCATGGAGCTTTATAATTAACCATCGCCTGTTCAATGTCTTATAAAAATGGTTATTCCTTATAAATTGAGCACAATTTATAATCTAACTAGATAGATAGCTGACTAAAAAGTAACTCAATTTCATAAACAGCACTATGATATCTAACCAGAAACAATTCAATCTGATTTTCAATTCTCCAGCAGATTAACTTGGAAGGTACATGCCAATAAGTACTGCCCGTGAAGTAAAATCGAAAACTGTAATCTACGTGACTAAAGCATAATGAAAAAGGAGTGAAAATTAGTAGTGTATTTGGTCCAGGCTAGCCGGGCCGCGCTCCCTGCCCGGGCACAGTCGTGCGACAGCCGCCGTGCCGCGTGCCGCCTTCGCACCGCCCCGCGCCATGCTACGCGAACAACTTTTTCGAATTCGCGCCAATTGTGAACACAATAGCGGGTTCGTATTTGGAACGCTGTGACGTGTTTTGTGTTAAAAACGTGGTTTAAAGTTGGACTGAACGATTTTGCGTGTAAGTATTTTTTGTAAGCATTATTACCATTTAAATGAATAGTGTTAGAGGCTAAACTTTTCTGTTGATCCAAAAAAACTATGTAACTATCGAGTAAAATTATATGGTACCGTTTCAAACAATGGTAACACTTAATATTATTTCGAGTAACAAAATAGATGTTCGTTAAATATTTCACAGTAAAACTGTTTTACAAAAATAAAGAAAAATAGAACCTTTATATATTTTTTATTACATACAATTTTCGTCTTATATAAAATGTAACAGCACAAATTCACTGTACATAGTGAAAATACGAGGGCAAGTTAATCCTTTACGTTATAATAACCTAAAAGATAATGAACCACTCTGTCAACACTTAGTGAGAGCGTCTCAAGCGAATATTACACCTAGTTGCTGAATAAAATTGGAAATACTCCGTTACCACTACCATTTTCTTGATATCTGTTTTCGTTTATAGAGAAGAGTTCAAGCATTAACGTGAGGCGCTACATTTTTGCGGTTACGATTCGAGTTTTGAGTCGGTGGTAGCACTTGCATACGTAGGCACGAAGGTCGCGTCCCGTAAACGGTAATATTCCGCCCTCGGTGGTGGAAATTTTAGCGTGTTTTCACATAAATTCTTATCGCGTAACTCGGCTTATATTAGCGGGAGCGTGAACAATTAGACTTATGTGTCTACTCTGTTGAATATGTACTATCTGGCTCACCCCGTAAAGGCATGCTGAGTCACTGTTTAATTAAAATCCTCGTTTTATATATACCTATTTTATTGAATATGATTTTTGATCTTGGCGACAACATTAATTATATTTTCCGAATTTTAATGTGTTTTTAATGTATTCTTACATTTTACACATGATTTAAAGTATTGAAAAACGAATGACTATTTATATAATTTTGACGATATTCGTCTCAGAAACTTCAACCGCACTAAACTCCCAAGACTTTCAAGTGTAACTTAGGTCAGTTTTTTGAATTTTGATTTTTAATAAAATAATGGTGCTAGTTAAAATTGTCAACTGTGCATGTATGTAAAGATAATTTAACTAACTACAAAATTCATTCATAAAATTTCGTTTCTTTTTAAAAATTTGAGACTACTGGCTGCTAGAAAAAAAAATGGAAAGCTGTCCTAAGTACAACAAAGCAGATGTACCTTGGACCGTGCACGTTGTACTTTGGACAGAGCAGGTTCAAATTGAGATTAATACTTTTATTAATTATAATTTGTTTAATTTCAGTTGAATAATTATTTGAAATAATTGGATAATCATTTGAAACTAACAATTCTTTCAATTATTAGCAACAATATTAAGTAAAAGTATTGTTTTTTTAAAAAATTTCACCAATCTTTTTTGTACTCAGTATTGGTTACAATATTTTGGCATCGGATCACAAAATTTTATTGACAGGACTCGTCCTTTCACACTATTCGTTTTCTTCTTCTCCTTCTTTGTGACTTTATCTTTGAGAGTAACTTTTTTTTCATTTTTTAAAGCCTTTATTGCATTTTTCTCTGGTGTGTCTGTTAGTATTTTAGATTTGCCTTTTGGCCCTTTTGTGTTCCTTTTCGTGGCGTGGCTTTTGGATGTGAACGAATCACTTCAGGGGTAATGAGGTTTGAGGAACTTGGCCCACCTTTTCAAGAGTTTTAGAAACGTTTAATGGATGCATTTCAGTTTGATCAGACGACTCTTGAGACCATTTTTTATTCTGCTGATTATCAGTCTGTAAACAAGGTTCTTGGGACAAAAGGGGATCTTATTGGATAGGAGGTTCTAGGAGCACAAGAGGGCTATCTTGAACTGCGGGTTCTTGAAGCAATGAGATGTCAGCATTTCCAGATTCTGAAGATAAAAAACGATCAAATTGTGTAGAAGTTTCTTGGAATAATGGACGATCTGAAATTTTGCTGCCAAAAAGTCAGCATCTGAGAAAATATGCTTATTTAGTAGGTGGAAGTGGGTCCAGTAGCCTTGAAGCTATTGCCAATGTTCGTTGGTGTGAATGCACATGGAAATGCTGTTCCGCCCAAATCTGCAATATCATAAATTGACAAAGGTTTTCCTATATATATGTCCGGGAGTCATAATTTTTTAATTAGCTGCCTGATTAAAATATGTTTTAAATGGTCCAAATACTGATTTGTCCAACGGTTGCATTTTATTCCTTGTGTGTGGGTGTAGTGTAACAAGAACTAGACCATTTTCTTTTGCGAGATGAATTGATAAAATAGAAATGTGACTTTCGTTATTGTCCATGAGAACAATGGCAGGTCGCTCCTTAGAAGGTCTTGCAAATTTTATGAAATAGTTCATAAACATCACAAAAGTGGCTTCATTAGACCATCCTGACGGATTAGCAGCACCTAAAGTGCGCTCTGGTGCTCCATGGATCATGAAATCTTTAAAATTAACCCTAAGAAATATAAGCATTGGTGGAATAAATCTTCCACCAGCATTACAAGCAGCTATCATCGTAACAGTGTTTCCTCTTTTAGCGCTTGTCACTGATTCTACTTGCTTAACTCCAGTTGGTGTCAGAATTTTTGCTAAGCTAAGCTTTACGAAGGGAAAGCTCTTTATAACGTTTCCTAAATAAATGCAGCCAGTACTCTCCCGCCATTTTTTCAGAGTCCCATGTAGAAGGGAACTGGTATGCTAATACTTTTACTTCTTTTAAAATCAATCCGAATTGAAGGTTTGCTGCATCCTTCATATAGTCCACTAGCATTTTATCTTGCTCTTCATTAAAAACTTGTTTACTGTCAGATTTTCGCGTAAATCATGCAATAAGGTGCCTTCTTTCATCATGTGTTGGTAGTGCCGTCTCAAAGTAGTACGAAGAATGTGGAAATGTTCAGAAGCACCATGAAGCGATAATTTATTAGCCTTTACGAGATTAACAGCGTTTTCAATTATTTTTGTATCGATTATAAGTTTTTTATTTTTTTCCTTGCTTCGCGGCATTTAACCTATAACAATATAGCCAATTTGCTTTTTTTAAATTAAAATACCATTATCATAAAAACGTATGTAAATTATTGTTGGCTGTATTAATGACCAAAACGATGTACCTTGGCCAGTGACCGAGGTACATCGTGAGTTGGGTGGCTAAGGTACAACAACGCAACAACTTCACTTAATAAGCTTTAAAAACCGACTACCGATTGAGATTAGGATCTAATACTTATACCGTCTTGTAGCTAGATATACTAAGATTATATTCTAAATAAAGCAGTTTCGACAAATATGCAACACTTTTAATAAATTGACATGAAGTGGACCTCCAAAAACTTACTTTTGCCAAGTAAAATTAAAAAAATATGTTTTTTAACTGTGCTCGCACGGCGCCGGCTTATCGTATCTAACTTCACGTTAATATTGACAAATGGAATATCTAATACAATAAACAAATGATTTTAAAAGCACAAGATTTAAAAATAAAACATGATTGTTTTAGGTACAACTCTGTCCAAGGTACAACCTGATTTCCGATTTTCAAATTTGAAAAATACCATGACCACTTAAAAGAGACTTTTGGTTGTTACTGAACTATATTTTTCAAACACCTCCTAAAGAAAATCGAACCTAAAAAGGGTTTTAAACCACTAAATGTTTAAGAAAAAGTATTATTTTAAGTATCGAAAAACTGCATGAAAAAGAAAATTTATATGATTTAAAAAAATCCGTTGCAGACAGGAATCGAACCTGCGTCTTTGCTTACACCACCAAATACTGCGCCACCCTGCGGCTGTAGTCACCACCAGGTCAAAATCATGCTAATTTTATGAACAGGGATAATATTATTTATAAGGTATTCCCTTGTTGGGATGTACCAAAAGAGAAAATTACCTTATTGAATCCGTATGATATTATGATAATATTGTGATGGGTTCGATGCTTGGGCGAATTAAAGACTAGCTTGAGAATTTATTTATTTAATGGTAATAATGGGTAAAGAAAAGAAACTGTAGCAAACATAATATTAATATAAAAATAGTTCATAGGTTTACCTAAATATTAAATTAAAATTACTAAATAAAACAAATACATACCCTTTTTTGGGTTTCTTAATTAAATCTTGGACTCTATTACAGGATATAATCTATATATATAAAAATGAATCGCAAAATGTGTTGGTAAGCGCATAACTCAACAACGCCTCGACCAATTTGGCCAAATCTTTTTTTAAAATGTTCGTTGAAGTTCAAGGATGGTTTTTACGGCGAGAAAAATTAGAATTATTGCTGGAAAAACCCTAAAAATAGCCCTTTTCTTTTTCCCATACAAATGATTTGTAACTAAAACGTAGTCAATTTGAGCTTTATTGCTATGGTATAAAGTTCATATTAAATTACAAGCACTCACTGTTGTCTAAGCAATGTAGGTGTGTTCCTAACGTCAAAGATCATATCTATCAAAACAATGTGCGTGTGTGCGTTGGAGCACAGAATACATAGTTGGAGGAGTTTAATGTCGCGTTCCGAAACTCACGGTTCTGTTCAGGAGAATTTTTTTAAATACGTAGGCAAAAAAACTGCCACATTACAAATCTTTTTGACAGGACGAAGTCTGTCGGGTCAGCTAGTTTTATATAATTTTTAATTTCTGTTTTAATCACATATCTTCATTATTATAATATTTATATTTGAAAAGAATATGTTCACAACAGAAGAATTTTTTACCAACTGACATCCATAAAGAGCATATTTGATTAGTCAAAATTTAAAAATTACAAAAGGTGAATAATAAAAATAAATTATGTTGAATATCAAACATAAAAAGTTTGCATGCTGAAACCTAGGAGGAAATAAACGGTGGTACGGCGCAACAGGAAGGGATCATCGCATGATAAGAAAGCTCTCGATTATGTTGAATATGAGTTTAAAAACCGCTTCTTAGTCTAAATAAAGTCAGATCTTAACAACATGGTTAGCCGTAGTACGATAGGGTTTTAATGATTAACGTATAATCTCAAACAATGAAAACCAACAC